GGTGGATGGCACGGATTTGGCCACGGCGGGCAACAATTCTGTGAAGGTACCATTCGAGGCACAGACAGATGTTTATCACATTCCGTCTAGTTCTTGCATGGTTGTTGTGGTTTCAAAACGTTTACCCGTATTGCATTTGATGTTTTGCAACCATTCCTGTCAGAGTGACATACAGTGCACTGCCAGAAGCAAATCTGATGAGAGGCAGCATCGGTGCCAGAACCAGTGGCAGCCGCCTTCGTGGGAGCGGGAACTGTGCCTCGGAAGAACTGTGCTCGTTGTTTTGGTATGTTTTTTCGTTTCGAAAGCAGTCCATTTCAGTTTGAATCATGGGTATTCTTCATTTCTTTATGAACGTTCTTCACCAATGTACATGTCCTTTATATTTGTGCAGAGCGAACAGTTCCCTCGTGTTTAACTCTCTTTCTGCACTTGACGACTGGCATTTGTGTCTCGTTTTCAGGCACCTCCAGCAGGCAAACGCCATGCGATAGGCTTTGCCTACTCTGTGCAGAAGGACGTCTATGCAGATTTCCTTTTTGGCAACGAGGTCGCGGTGTTGGGAGTGAAAGGGGTCTGTCTGGATTTGTTGGTACCCAGGAAAGGGTTTAGCCGTGGATCTTGATCTCAGGTTGGCTATTTGCCGGATGGCACTCCGATGAATAAAGCGGGCAATTGCTTGAACCACCCTGAGAATATCCAGCCAGATCCACATGCTCCTGGAGTCTAGTCTTTTGCACGGCATCTTTGCTTTGTTTTCCACCCCTTTCTTGTCACTCTGAATCTTCGTTTTTGGTTCGTTCCAAACGAGAACTCCGATTGAAGCTTGAAAGCGCTGAGGATCTGCTTTGCCTCGTGCCAGCTTTGTGAACGATGTGGGCTACTTGCCCGATGGGACACCTTTGAACCGTGCGGGCAATGCCATCAACCATCCGGAAGCATAGCTGAGCTCAGTTGTTCTGACAGGATGCGATAGGAGGACAGGAGGGGCAAGGCCAGTATGGTTGCTGGGCACGACAGAGGTATGATTGGCTTGTTTTGGCTTTGTGTTTCTTGGTGCCTATGCCACAGTCTGTTGCCGTTGTGGTGCTGAGGGAATAGAGACTTCGGGAAGACCGCAGCGTAGTTTGGTGGAAAAGAACCTCACTGATTCGGGACTGATTCGCATCACTTTTGCCAAGGAAACGGTTCAACCTGATCCTCATTCCCCAGGCTCAGCTTTGCCAGAATCAGCCTATGCCGCAGATGTTGGATACCTTGTGGATGGCACTCCTCTCGATGCGGCTGGCAATAACGCGGTGCACTGATGTGAAGATAGTTTCTATGAGACAGGACCCTTGCTGTCCTCAGTAATATTTAGACTGCAAGTCGGTTTCAGGTCAGAATGGTTTGGAGCCTTTCTGGCACACTGCAACTGCAGCCTGTTTAGGGCTATGTAGTGGAGCAGTGGTACTTTGTAGTTACAGGCAGTGGAACGGCAGATTGGCAAGAGCTTGGCTCATCCCCAAGTGCCGACGGCCATCCCTTTGTTCTGTTGATATGTTTCCATTCATGGGTGACTGAGAAGATGCAACCTAAACCATCATAATTACTAGTCCTCGATGCTGCTGGAGGTGATATGGTTTTCAGTCTTGTGACAGTTACAGTACCCACGAATGTCTAGGCAGGAACTCCATTTGGAGCAAACACTGCTTCAAGAATGGTACGCTGCTATGAAGTACAGCTGAAGTACAGCTTCAACTCCTTGTATTCACCGTTTGTGCACAATGGCACCTGTTTCAAGTTCAAGAACAGAAAAGGCACACCAAGTACAAGAACATAATGCAGCGACCTAATCGCATTTCCGAGCTTTTTGCTTCGACAGTTTACAAGGACAATCAGTTGCAGCTCTATAGTGATACTAGCCATGAGAATCTCTGGCGTACGTAAGGTCAATGCCCCATCAGGAAGAAAGAATCGGAGAAAAGCTGTTGCGTGTGAGCATCCTGCAAGCTGACGAATGGCCTTTTTCCGCGTAATCCATTCAATCCATTCGGCCCATCCAACCCACTAAATCTTGAATGCGGTGGTTTGGGAAGTCAGCTGCCATCGAAAGCCAGACGAAACATGTTGCAGCACCGTGGTTCGCAGCAACAGTCGCATGATCAGTGTTCATTTCCGACGCGTGAAACATTCCAAATTCAGACGGAAAAAAGCAACGCAGCAAACACATAGAAGTTCCTAGGGGGTGCTCACCAAGTTTTTTCGCGGCGGCCCGGCACATTCAGCACAAGGAGCTGTCATGGACGCCGATGGTTTCAACGGATCAGTGCCTGAGCGAGTGTCGACGTTTAGACGGGGCTTGCCCCGTACAGGGCTGAAACGAAAGAAAGGTCTAAAGTTCCAAAGAGAAAAAAGAGAGAGGTCTGAGTCACTGAGGGCTGTGAAGGTACTAATGAGGTCTAAAGATCTAAAGAACAACAGAGAAAGGGTCTACCGTCTA